ACACACACACACACACAGAAAAATTATATTATCTTAATTGACTTATGTGTCACATAATACACTTTTTCAATCGATCAAGATTTATCGATTTTATAATTGACTAGATTAGTATCATCAATTACAATATACGTTTGTGGGAAAGACGATGTAGACAACAATTTGAACAGAATAATACAGAATTCACGCTTAACTTATACACGCAAATGAAACTATCGTATTACGATTGTTCATTGATTGATTTATGTATGACACTTAAGAACATCAGTTGAAGAGATCTGTGACAATAATGCATAAAAATCGTTAACCATCCGTATATAAAAATCGTTAACCGGGACAGGCAGTAGATTTTGGCGCAAAGATGACGAATGCAGGTGTACATGGATATTTCGTAAAAATTAAATTTCGTACTTGAGTACTTTTTAAAAATTTGTACATCATTTGTATATTGACTTTTTCTTTTATAATAAGCACAACTCACAATATCTTTCTCGCGATTATCGTTCAAATTATTTTTATTCGTTATAAAATTATCTGCTGAATTGATTTCGTTATTAAGTACGATACTAGCTTTTTGCTTGTAAGTAAACCAATCCGACATATCGGTTCTATCGTAGAGATAAGAAGATTTCTTTACCTTTCGGAAAATTAAAAATTTCACGATAGCTTTGACTCTTTTCTGAAAAATAATTTTGTTCCATTGTTTGCTCGCCGTATCCACGAACGGTTTAACGTTGTTCTCTTTTCTGACAGCTTCCAGCAGCAACTCCAAGATTAAGAAGTTGAAAAACTTGGTCTTAAAGTACAGAAGATTTTCCAGATCGTTTCTGAGGACTTGCATACTTCTGTCATTGAATATACTGATGAATTCGCGGAGGCAAGTTTGATCGTCGACTTTTAAGATTATATAATTGAGCACTGTCAGAATGAAATTCATTACTCTGGCCTGAGTGGTTCTTCCATCCTTTAAAATGATTGATATTTCTTCAAGCTTTTTGTAGAACAACGCCAAGCCGTTGTATCCGTTCGTACATTCCAGTATCATGGTGATCCATGAAATCAATAATTTCGAAATTTTTTTCAATGTTATACGTATTTTCGCTTGTTCAAATTATCTTAATCATTCTTTCAATAGGAAATTTACACCGATTGATTTTTACATAATTATTTCGCGTTTCAAATTAATTGAAGAATCATTTAAATCGAAAGTGTCGTCGGTTCTGCACGATTTTCCACAATGTCATCGAGTAATGGTGTTATTACTGTGACGATGTTTCTGTTTACGTTCAGCCGATGGAATGTTAGGAATAAACAAAATATGAGCTTATCAAAGTGATAGACGGATATTGAGATCGTATTTGTCGTAACAAACTTTATTGATCTAAATATGAACAGATCTAAACTTACAAAAAGTTCAGTAAATAAAAAATGCAGGAAAGGGGGAAGACACTAGAAAGAAAATAATGGAAATACTTATATCGAGCAATTGTTTTCAAAACTAGAATCTTTGAGAGGGTACCTTCGAATCGGAGAGGAGGTACGATTTCTATGCATGCAAAAATCGTCGTAGAACGTGGAGTTCGTACGTGGATCACCAAAGCTGATATCTTCCGAGTTCAAATGTTCTAGAGAGTTCGATAGTTTACCATGAAGGCTCTCCTCCGTTGAATCGTCTGTCCAGACGAATTCCGCGATACCCTCCGTGTAAGAAAGGAATGGTTCCGCTGAAATTTTCTTTTTGATCGTGAAGGTGTCGTCCTCTTCTAAGAATTCCTCTTTTACTTGCTTCTCGAGCGCCAGAAACGATTTCAATGAACTACTAATCATGTTGTCCATTGAAGCAAAACGGCTCGGCGAATCACTCGTATTATTAATTTGGTTGCTCGGCTCTACTGGCGCGTTCAGTTTCCTCGATTCAGTCGTATTCAATCTAGGACCTCTCATTGCAATCGGTATGTCTTCGTATTCTTTATATTTCAACGCGATGCTACTGAATGTAACGACATCCGGTATCGAGGACAGAGAAGTCGTTGCTCTCATGTCGATTGAAGAGTTGCTCGAGCGTTTATCATTTATTCGCGCAGTTTGAAAGCCGTTTGCCGTCTTGTCGAAGGTCATCATGTTCTTAATCGCATCACGATATTCTTTCACCTTGTCGAGCATTCTAGACCTCCAAGAACCGCATTGAGTGATTGGCGACACGATGTTATCTAATGATAACAATCTGTTGCATGCTGGCGAGTTGGTTCTGTTGGAAAGTTTCGAGTTCCATCTATAAAAACCATGGATAGTTTCGTTCAGTGTTTCGTGGCATATGGTATGCATCGTAAAAACGTCAAGAACATTGCGCAGTTCATAATTTATCGCTCACTTACGCTTGTGTGATATGATTCATGATGTAATTTCGTCGTCTATATAACTAATTTAGTGACAATATACACACATGAAGTGAATACGTGACTAACAACAGGCTGATAACGAATAATTATGAAGTGTATGAAGCGGCTTTATGCTAATAATGATTACTCGAAGGTCGTGCTCGAATCTACTTGAATACTAAACATTGCCATACGTGGGAAATTCGATTTACAGTATATGTGATTGACTTATCCTGTTTTGTTTATATAAATTTCTGAAATTGCTTACTGACGATTAAATTCTTTTTAGAATCGATGAACGATAAAGAGGGGAAGCGGGGCCAGTGGAAAAGTACCATCGCAAAATTGTTGGGCAGTGTCGTGTCCATAAGTAGTTCGTAATATATAAAAGCTTCTTTTATACTATAAAATAAGCAATTGTTCTGAGTGAATCATTTTGGAGAATTCTCGCCCAGAGTCTTTGCTACTCATTGAAGAAATTTAGTCTGGAATTTCTTAATGGGTATAAGATATGGTCATAGACGAGGTTATTAAATAAGTAATAAAGTTTTTCTGTTATCATAATATTGCTAAGTAAAGATAGTACAGAAAATTTTCGATTAATATTTTTAGTAAGCGTAATTTTTGACTAATGAATAATGGAATTTATGTTATTTGTCATACCCAATGAATAATACTGCATAAGTATTATTTGTGTAAAATTATTAAAAATTTAACATAAATTTGAATGTATAATATAAGTGAATGAAAAAATACAATAATTTTGATATTTTAATAATTTAAAATTTAATTAGTTAAAAATTTAAAAAGTTTTCAAAAATGTTTTATAAAATATAAATCAGTTATACCTAAAATCATGTATTAATAATTTAAAAATTTTAATTTACTGTATATAAAAAAAAAACATCATAAATCCATCATAAAACATGGATGGAGCTCTTTGTGTATATAATTATATATTATATATTCGGTTAATTACTAGCTCTTCAATTCGATATTTAAAATTGATAATACCGTAATGGATTTCAAAAATCATGTTTCTGGCGCGTTTATTATTTGATCAACTTCGATCGTTTTACTTGATATTCTCCAAGTTCTCCAATTTACCTGTAGAGTGCGCTGAAAAATCTCGTTTGTGATACATACATAATCTTTCTTTTGCATGGCTACCATTGATACTATAGACTTACTAGAAGTCTGTAGATTATACTACAAACTTTTCTTAATTAGTATTACTTGATATCAGAATGAAATAAAAAAATATTGAAAACTAAAGGAGGGCAAGTACTTTTTGTAATTACTGTAAATAAAAGTTAATTCTTCTTTAGCGTAGGATTACGCATTTTTATTTTTCTGTATATGCAGTTTTTCTTCAAAATACATCTTTTCAAACGACCTTCAATTTCGTTCCAATCCGTTGATTCCATTTCCGCCATAATAATATTCCTAGCAATTATGAAAACACCATTTATCACTACGTCACTGCGTTTTGAATGCACGTTTTCAGAGAATTACTGTATTGATCGTATAATACGTATCACGTTACAGTAAAAGAATACAGTTGCACTATAAGAAAGTACTTTATGAAACTATGGACTTTATGTGCACTTTTGCAAAAAGAAGGAGATAATGAAATACTTCCTGCTTGCCAATTTTTTTTTCTAATGCAATTTTATTTAGACTCAATATATATTATGCTGTTCTTTAATTAAGGTTAACATTTGTTGAATATAATTAGCCTTGTCCGTGGCGGTGCCCGTTTTGTTACGGCGTATGATGTCACATCGCGTGGAGCATCGAAATTTTCCATGGCATTCAATAAATCTAATTGACTAGATAAGGGTCAACCGAGTGCCAAATTACACCGTGGGATTATGTAAGTTCAAAGGGGATATACCTTGCTATTAATTTATACTGAATTTGATGAGTTATTTCCTGCCATTTTACTTCTTTGCAATGAAACTTATATTAGTCGAACGGGTAATACTTGTGTCCTCTCGCGCTGCAAAGAAAAAGAAATTATTTTATACTGTTAAATAATCGAAATTAACTTACGAATTGAAGGATTTTCAGTGTACTTACTCGCCAAAACGTGCAACACGTTGACCTGTACCAATTTTATCTATAGACGCCATTTCGTCATTTGTTAGAGAAAAGTCAAATATATTCATATTTTCTTTTAACCGGCTCGATGTTACTGTTTTTGGAATGATAGCGATTCCTTGTTGTAACTGGAACACATCGGTAAAAAAGAATTAAACTTTATATCTATATACGTATAGATAAGCGGATTAAATGTATTTTAATAAATTTCGTTTCTTTAATTTTCACTTCAGCGATAGATTCGGTAAATTGAAAACAAAGAAGATCGACTTGTGTGTCATATACGTACATTTTTTTCTACTTCAATTATGTAGTTTTATCTGCATAATTATATCTGTTTAATGTTTCTAATACTTATTTTTGTCAATGGAAATGGCCACATTGTATTTCTTCAAAGGAAATATCATAATGCAAAATAAAATAGCATCTTCCGTTAAAAATTTAAATATAATAGCAGTGTTAAGTAAAAAGTATTGCAAGTACTAAAATGTAATTAACTTACTACGTATCTTAGAATAATTTGTGCTGGCGTTTTATTGTGCTTTTTCGAAAGCTCTATTACTACTGGATTATCTAATCCTGTTGGTATGCCTGCTTTATTTCCTGGTTGTCCCAGCGGTGAATACCCAGTTATCGTAATATTGTGCTTTTTGCAAAATTCTATTAATGGTGTTTGATTTACATTTATGTTGACTTCAACCTAAATAGAAATAATAAATATTTATTATCTTGCTTATAATTATAATGAATTACATGTGGATTATAAACAATACAAGTAACAATTCGCACTTACCTGATTATTTACAGGTTTTATTTCAGCTGCACTAAGTAGACGAGTGATTTGATCCTGATTGAAATTGCTAATTCCAATATTGCGAGCTAATCCTAATCGCGCGCATTCTTCCATTCCTTTCCAGGTTTCAAGGTAGTCAGTATCCGACATCA